CCCGGAGCGGCTGCAGCCTGCGAGCCGGGCCGCGGCGTCTCCGGAGGCCGGGGCGAGGGGCTAATGCCCACCTGAGCAGAGGAAGTGGGCAGTCGACCCTCAAACTTTCTTGAGAATCACGACTCTGTATTCTTTTAGCAGTTCACCCTCTCCCGCCTCCGCCCCAGGCCTTTCACATCTGTAATACCATTTCTGATCGCCCGCAGTACTGTCTTGCACTGGAGGGATGTGTTTAGAGAGAGACTTGTCGCCACCTAGTTTCTTATTGATTTTTATGGGAAGGTTTTAAAACATCTTGACAAGCCGGAGTAGCATTTCCTTTCCATCTGTCTCGCCCTCCCCACCCCTTTGCTTTATTTATATTTTTAAGAGTACACACGTGCGTGCCTGTGTTGAAAAGCCTGCACCTCCTTAGGAAGAAGGACACTTTATTTGGCTTCTAAGAGGATACAGCCAAGAAATCTGCTTCCTCCCTGCTCAGAGGAAACGGCGGCAGAGTAGTCTGGAAAATGTGAAGCAGTTGCAGATTTCAGAAATGGTTTGGGAGGTGGGACAGCTCACCAGGTCCTTGTGGGACTGTACCTCAGAGACTTCTTAGGAGATTTAGCTGTCATCATTCATTGCGCATTTATTTTAAAGTTTTCAATTTCAACTTTTTGGTATTAAATTTGCCGAATGAAATTTTGTTTCCAGTACCCAGCACATAAGACGAGTTTGTCATCGATCTCTTTTGGGTCTTAAGCATTTGGAGGTTTGTAGGGAGAGAGGAGAGAAGACATTGATCAGAAAAGGAGAGGCTTGGCGCTTTCCCTTCACGGTTCTGTTCATGGGGTCAGTGCCAGGATATTTGAAACTTGCAAAATGGTCCGCAGGCTCCACCTCTTTGGCCTTTGCCTCTGGCTTACGTTATTTTGGGAAAAGGGTTGAGTGTCTCCCTGCTGATCCCACTGAAGGGTTTGTGGTGGCTGAGGGAGGCTTGTTTAAAAAATGCATAGTACAGGGCTGAGAGGGAGTGGTAGTTCAAGCGGGGGCAAAAGCCAGATGTTCGGTGTGATTGGCTCTGCCCGGTGGGCCTGTTCCGAGGAGGAGACCATGTGGCCTGCATTTGTACTGGGAGCCCAGATGTGATTCCTATCTTCTGTAAAGAACTTGGAGCATATTTCAGATTATTTCCTGCTTGAGCTATTTCTATTGCATGAGCTACATTTTAACCATGTGCGGAGGGGCAGTTCTTTATTTTTCTTAAACATACAGTTCCAATGCCACAGCTCTGGGGTTATCCTTCAGCTGATGTCATGAAATAGGGACAGGCATCCTCAATGCTGTTCCTGGACCCTGTGGTTTGCATTGTGAGGCCACCAGCAGAAGTTTGAGGTGCTACCTGTGATGCTGCCTGTAACTCCAGAACGAGCAGCTTGGCCCTAAGGGACATCTTTGTGCACAGTTTCAGGCCAGAGACCTTACATTCCTTTGACATTAACAGCTCAGGTTTTCCATGTCATTTGGTAAAGCAATGGTGTGGGATTCTTTTTCTTTTATTCCTCTTTTAAAAATTTTTTTGTATAAATTCAACTTTTTTTTTTTTTTTTTTAACTTTGAGACTGAATCTTGCTAAGTTGCCCAGGCTGGGCTTGAATTTAGAATCCTCCTGCCTCAGCCTCAGAGCCTCCTACCTCAGCCTCAGAGTGCTGAGATTACAGGCATGTATCCATATGCCTGGCTGCCTCTCTCTCTTTGTGGGGGTTAGGTACTAGGGCTTGAATCCAGGGTTTTCACACTGAGCTACATTCCTAGTCCTTTTTATTTTGAGATGAGGTCTTGCTAAATTGTTAAGTCGCACAGGCTGGGCTTGAATTTAAGATTCTTCTGCATTGGCCTCCTATAGTGCTGTTTTTGGTGACTATTGTGTTCTCCACTTAGACAAGCATATCATTTCTGAACAGCTCACTCATATAAAGTGCAACTCATGATTGTTGCAAGTTAGTGCAACAAACTATATATGAATTAGTGTTGAAAGAGGTATTGGATTGAGTGGCATAGACAGTTGTATTATATTCCCTTGAACTAAGGAGGGTTTGGTAGAGATTTGAAAAGAGCTGGTTCTTATTGCCATTTTTCCATCATGTGGGGCAGCCAGATCTCCAGCTACATCTCTACATGGAGAATTGTGACCATATTGGATTATGTGCCCATTCTTGTAATGAATGTTTACTGGGTGGCTTGTATGTGCCAACACTACTCTGAGACATCAGTGAACAAAGGCAGACAAAAATTCCTGACCTTAAGAAGGTTACATTTTTGTGTGTGTATGTGTGAATGTGTGTGTGTGTGTGTGTGTGTGTGCGCATATATATAGGGAAAATAAACAATAAGTGATAATATAGCAGAAGTAATATGTGAGAGTATAAGTGCTATGGAAAAATTAAAGTAGAACAAGTAGATGATATACATGATAGAGAGGTAATTGATATAATATGTTACACAATATAAGTACTCTGGAAAAAGTAAACAGACTAGGGTAATGAGGATAGAGAATTCCTAGGGGAGGGAGGGAATAATATGGTACTGAGTGAGAGAGAAAAGGAAGCCTCCCACACAAAGATCTGAAGGAGGGGGAGTTGTTAGCTCAGTTGGATGCAAAGCAGAACAGAGGTGCAAAGGTGAGGTGTGTTTCACAGGAGCCCGTAGTGACACTATCTTCTCTTGCAGAGTCTTCTAGTTCCCCAAATTCTTCCCCTTGGAAACTCAGATTCCTTCTGAAACTCTGTTGCCTGTTTTTGGAATGACTTAGTGAAACCTTGCACTTTGAGTGGACTGGCCATTGTCCAGGGAGAGGAGACAGATGAAAATTGGGATAGGGCTGGGGATTTAGCTCAGTGGTTCTGCCACCTGCCTCACAAATGCAAGGTCCTAGGTTGCATCCCCAGTACAAAAAAAAGAAAGAAAGAAATTTGGGATTGTGTTAAGAGCTGATTTTGGCTACCATCTGTGGAATGTTTGCTGCCCCATTGAAGGTAGCAGCCTTTGGTCGGATGCTCTGCTGTCACCATCTTGAAATTTTGAATACTTTTAAAGCAGGAGTCCTTCATTTCACATTGAGGTCTTGCAGAAAGACATTATGTTTAGTGCTTTCCTAAAATGGAGCCATTTTTCCGTCTTCATGACACAATGAGGGAGACACTTTTTATTAGTCTCAGTTTATATACAAGAAAACCAAGGCTTCATGAGTATAAGCAACTTTGATCAGCCCCACAGCTAATTGCTGACACAGCCATGATTTAAACCCAGGTCTGTCTCCTTCCAAATACCATCTTCTTGTCTGTCATACTTTATGAGTGAGGAATCCTCATAAAATAGGAGTTGGCAAATAGGAATGAGATGGCTGTGATTCAAAAACCGCCCCGCTGAGCCCAAAAGCAGCTAATGTTTAACTGGAGCTGACTGTGACAGCCACCAAGCCTTCTTAGTGTGATCACTCCTGTTGTTCTGAATTGGGACTTGGTTATCATGTGCATGGCTGAGCGATCTGTTTTAGCAAACCTGTCACATACCTCATTTTAAAAATATGAAATGTTCAAGTTGCCTAAGGCTAGGATTGTCACATTTTTCAGCTCCTCCTGTGAGCCATGGAGACCAATGTTTTTCTCATTTGGTTAGTTTTGAAGACTCTTTGTCCCGGAGGACAAAGGTTTGGAGGAGACAGATTTAAAGTCTACAGTATAATGAAGCATGTGCTTGGGGTGAGTACGGTGTTGCTCATTAGATCTGAACCTCTAAAGCTATGGGCTTCCTCCTGAAGCTTAAAGAAGTTTTCAGGGTTGGGGGTTTGGAGGGGGTAGTCAGAGGTAGAGTGTGCTTCCCATACTAGGAAACCCTGAGCTCAGTGCCCAGGACCACATACACAGACACAGAAATAGTCTTTGTTCAGATGATGGAATATTATTTTAATTCAGTCAGCAGTGCTTTAAGAACACTATTGCTTCCAGACCAGATATAGCCTAAAAGTGTATTCTGAAAACACAGCAGATCTAAAAATAAGGAGTATGTTGTTAGTGTGTAATGTTATTGTAAGGGACTTGCCTCTTTCTGCAAAGCTGCCTGGGTATTGGATGTTTCTAACATTTGTGTTACATTTCTCTACGATTCTGTGCAAATTACACTTCTGAAAATTCTCTGTGAGCTTGTGCAAATTGAAGAGGAAAATAATTTGTCCATTTTATCTATGTATATCATACATGCACAGGCTGTCTGGAAGGGATGCTCGAGAAATGGGTAACTGTTTCTAGAGGGGAATTGGGGGACTGGAAGTCAGTAGAGGAAGGAAACTCATTGACACAGCATACCCCTTGGTACTGTTTAAATTTTTATTTCCTGGATATGTTTAGGAAATGAATATTTATAACGTAAGGGCATCATCTAAACCTGGCTAGCGATGATTTTTATCTGAGTGTCCTTGGGGGCAAAGAGGGCTTCAGTGCTATATTAGATAGAGCTCAACACCACTCAAGGTCACTAGCCTTGAATGAAAAAGGGGGGTGGGGTGGGGGGTCGGCATGCTGGGTAGAAAGGGGCTCTCTGGGTGGAGGCTGACAGATAAACCTTGAGAGCTTCTGAACTTTATTATCCTGCCGTTTGGCCATTTGGAAGATAAAATACTTTATCAAATGTTGCAATGATTATGTCTTTCTTAAACAATATGTAATAGGAAATAATCTTTGCAATGATAATAATAATAGAAGTTCTTCTTGGTTTAAATGTTTAAAAAACAAGTTATTTGTAAAATTATTTGATAGTTACACTAGCCTGGTTTGTGAAGTAAAGTACCAGGTCTCAGACAGTGGTAGGTGGGGGGTTAAGGGGATGCTTAGCCTGCTGGTGTCTGGATGG